TATATATATATATATATATATATATATATATATATATATATATATATATATATATATATATATATTTCCATGCTTATCCATCCCAAATTCCTTACAGGACCCACATGATTTGGCTCCTGCTGATGACTCGAGGCTCACCTTGCACCTAATCAAGTCAATAGTGTACACACACACATACATACATACATACACACACACACAAATCCTGAGCCCTCCACTTCCTAGCTATATGATCTTAAGCAAGTTACTTAACTTTCTCTGCCTTCAGTGTTCTCACATGTAAAAGGGAGATGATAGTACCGGCCTCCCTGGACTGTTCATTGAAACAAATTTTTATTAAGCATTTACATGACAGCCATTGTCCTACGTGCTGGAGATACCCCTTCCCACTCTCTCCCACACCGTCTGTAAGCCACACATGCAGCCTGTCAACTCAGCCTTCTCTCCACCCACAACCTTCTTTCCCCCTCCCAACCAAGACTCCTGCGCCCTGGTTCATTTCTTGACTAGAATCCTGCCACAGCCGCCATTCTGGGCTCAGAGACCCAAGTCTCTTTCCCATCAATCTATTGCCAGAAAGCAGCGAATTATGCCATGCTCCCTTCCCTTCTAGACATCATCCACCCGTGGCTCCTCAATGCCCTCAGGACAAAGTCTGAGCTCCCTAAATAGCAAACAAAATCTTCCGCGATCTAATCCATACAGAATTTTCAATAAGGTTTCCACCAACACCAGATCACCTGGCTGTTTCTCATCGCGGGCTTTGCGCAAGCCATTCCCCCGCACAACCGCCAACCCCAAGCACTCCTCCGATTTCAGGTCAGGCAGCTCCTCCTTCTCCAGGAAGGTTTCCCTACCCGTGCTTCGTCTGGGTTCCCTCCGCGTTCCACGCTGCCTCCGTTAACGAACACACACAAGTCTGTAACGGAGCCCTTGCCTGTCTCTCCTACGGATTGGGCGTTCACACGAGCTGGGCCAGGCACAGCAGCTAGTGAGGCCCCACGTGACGGGGTCTCCGGCCTCAACATCTACCGCCTGCTACCCCCAAACCACGAACGCCTAACAAGCGCGCTCTCGCCAATAGTCGTCACGCACCTACCGCAGGACCGAGAAATCTACGCCTGCGAACAGAACGACCAAAACCACCCAATCACGGCCTTCTCTTCCTCTACAGCCCACCCCAAACATCCGGGACCCGTCTGCCTCTGGCTGCCGACTGGCCGCCTTGCGTCCCGCCCCTAAACACGTGACGCGAAAGAACTCTGGTTTTTGTAGTTCCGCAACGAAACGGGGAAGGGGGGGAAAGATCGCTAAGAACTACATTTCCCAGGAGGCGCCGCGTACCACTTGTGGAAGACGATACCCTTTGAATCAGGCGGCTCTTGATTGGCCATTTCGGAGACAGACGTTTCCGAATTGCCATGGAAACAGGCCCACTTACCTGGAACCCCGGGAATATCTTTTTGCCTGAGAATCTCAAAACGCCTTGCTCCGCAATGGTTGCACATGGTGAGATCTGACGCGTAGGGGGTAAAGGCTTTACCACTGTCTGCCTGACATTCCCCAGATGACACCAATAAGTCCTGCTACATATTCAGCACCTACTGGATGCCTGCCTGGCTTAGGAGCCACTCCTGCGCAGCCTCTGTGGAAGCCCGTGTTTACTAGGGCAGAACCTGATGTTTCTTTCCTAGAGGCAGGCCAGAGTTGGGCCTTTAGCCTTTCCGACTCTCAGTTTACCCTGGAAAAGGCAAATGTGGGCGAGAATCCTACCCAGGATCTGTCTAGGATTCCTTAGGCCCAGATCTCCTGCAGCCCATGTCTGCACAGATAGCCATAATTTCCCCCATGGACCTATCCCACAAGACAAAGCTCTTCCAGCATGCCCTCCCCCAACACCATTCCCCACCATGCCTCTGAGGACCAGGTGAGGGGAGCCAGGGCCCTGCAAACGCTCAGGCAGGCATGTGAGAAAGCTCTTTACTGGGGGGTACAGCATGGAGGAGCAAGGCCATCTCCCCCTACCTACCCCCACCCCCTCCTAGGGCCCTGGAGTGAGGGGGGGTCTCCCCTGCACCGGACCACCACTGTCTTTGGTACAATAAATAGAAAACAAGGGGGGGAGAGGGGGCCAAGGGTCCAGTCCTTAGTGGGGAGGGTGCGCTTATACCCCTCTCCTTGACCCCCTGCCCCAGGCCCCAATCAGTGCAGGCCTCACCCACCCCAGCTGGGTAGCAGCAATTCCAGCCAAGGGGAGAGATGAGGATGGGAGCCCAGGGCCCCCAGATGGGGGGGGTATGGCTTCAGGAGGGGCCCCAGGGAGGGGGCAGGGTCATGAGCTGGCTGCTGTGCTCTGGGGAACACCACGGAGGCCCAAGCGAGGCCCCAGAGTGGCAGGGTCATCAGGGGGTGGAAGGGGTGGACGACCTCCTGTCATCCGAGTCCGGAGGGCTGAGGCAGCCGGGTGCTGGGGAGCAGGCGCTGGGTGGAGCGGGGAGCAGTCCGGAGGGCCGCCCACCAGGCTCACATCCATCAGCTCCGGGGGTGGAGGAGAGGTTGGTGATAGAGGACGGCCAAGGCATCGGGGTTGGGGGGGTAACTGGGCCCCAGCCCCTGGCAGTGACGAGGTGGAGGCAGGGGCCTGATGTGTCTTGTGGGGCACATCACCCCCTGCCCAGGGACGCAGCGGCTGCGAGGGTGGAACCTAAAGGAGCAAAGGAACAGTGGGTGATGGAGACTTTGGTCCTGAAGCCCCAGATAACTCACCACCCACCCCCAAAGGCCTCAAGGCAGGCCCCAGTACCTGGGGGCTGTTCATCTCACAGTCAGTGATAGGGGGCCCAGGGCCCCCACAATATCGGTTGCTGTAGCGGTAGGTCCGGTTGTCACTGGAAGAGCCACTGGAGCCTCCTGGAAGTGCCAGATGGGAGAAGAGGTGAGAGGTGGTAGCTGGGTTTTGGGTGGCCGAGTCTGGTTCATAGCTCAGGCCCAGGTTTGGGCTTTGGGTTCTGTGCTCATTTGAAGGATTGGGCTCAATTTTGAGATTAGGAGCCAGAGTTCAGTTTTGGGTGTTGGAGTCTGAACCAGTTAGAAGTCTGAGCACAAGCTCAGTTTCAGAGATCAGGTCAGGGCCAGCTGGAGCTCTCCTGCTCCACCCTTTGGAGTTCAGGATCATGCAGTTCCAACTAAGTTAAGGCCAGTGGCACGGTCCCCCAGGACAGGCCAAACCAGAGCTGCCCCCATCCCTGTCCTACCCCATAGGCACAAGGCACGCACCAGAGCTGGAGATGGAGCTGGCGGTGCTGGAGGAGGGGCAGGTGTCGAGGGGTGCGGGCGAGGTGGAGGCACTGCTGCCTGCCGGGCCCGTGTTGGTGGCCTCATCAGCCGTGCGGCGGAAGAAGCCGTGCTGCAGAGCCCCCAGCGGGCTGATGCGGGCGGCGGGCTCATACTCCAGCATGCGCAGCACCAGGTCCTGGAAGCGGAGGTAGTCGGCGGGGCTGTGGCCCGGCTCCCCCGCCCGCCGGCCCCCGGGCCCGCCCGTCTGCACGCCCAGCACCTCCTGCAGCCGCCGTGTCCCGGGGCCCTGGTAATCCTGGCAGGGAGGGGGTGGGAGGGGGGGCAAGAGAGTGGCCGTCAGTGGGCAGGAGGGGCAGGGAGACACACACGGGGAAACAGAGGCACAAGAGAGGAAGTGGAAAGAGAGAAGCTAAGAAGAGTCGTGGGGTGTTCAGGAGAGAGGGCGGGCTGGGGAGGAAGGAAAGGACAGACAAGGGGGAGAGGAAGGATGGGAAAGACACAAGGGAGAGGAAGCAGGGAGAAAGGGAGACCCAAGTGTGAGAGAGTGAGGGGCCACCAGGGTGGGAGGAGCGGCATAGGGCAAGGGCCGCACCTTCCTGAGTTCCTTTGTCCTTCGTAGGGTCCAGCCACCCCCAGGCAGCCGTTCAAAGTATTTGCGAGCCTTGGGTGCCTGGTCCAGCATGGGGGCTGGTGGGATGCCCAGCACCTCCACAATCCGGTTCATCTGGTCCACCTGTGAGCAGGCAGGCAGTCAGGGTCATCTAGTCAGCCAGGCCTCCAACCCCCTCCAGCACACCTCTTTTTTGGGAGCACACCTCATTGGAGCCACTGAAGAGGGGCTCTCCAGTGTGCATCTCCACCAGGATGCAGCCCAGGGACCACATGTCAATGGCCAGGTCATAGGGCGTGCCCAGGAGCACCTCAGGTGACCGGTAGAAGCGGCTCTGGATATACTGATAAATCTGGGGGAGGAAACAGGACAATAGTCAAGAGGTTTCATTCAGCCTTCCCAACTGATGCCATTGACATCCCCGAAGCTAGGACTAGACTCCTGCCCTCAGATCTGGGGATGGGGACTCCAAACCCTGATGATATCAGCACCACCTTTCCAGACGCCACCACACCATCTTATTCATAAGCCTCAGGAGTCTGCTGGCCTAGTCTGACCCTGATCTCCATCCCCAGGCCTGACTTTGGACCCCTCTTGGTCACCAGTAAGATGCTGGCAGTCTGCAAACCCAGATCCTTCCCACCCTCAACCTCACAATCCAGACCCTTATTAGGCCACCATCATCATCTCAAATGACTGCTTACAGGAAGCTACAAAGCCGAAGCATTCCCCGACCCCCGACCACCACCCAATTTCCATCACCGGCTCTAAGAGCACGGGATAAACAAAATTTATAAAGTGCCACCTAGGCTCAAAGTCAACCCAACTTCCCCTGCCCACATCTGGCAGCCTCAAATTTGGCCCTGCCCCCAGGCTTCACTCTACCCTTCCCACTGGGCAGTATATATATATATTCCATGGCCCTCACCTTTTATACCCTTTTCACCCACTGGCACCCTCCATACCCAGCAACACCCCATTCCAAGCACTGTTCCTCCGGTATCAGCCACTTGAAGCTGTACCGGACAACCCCATCCCAGCCAAGCACTGCTCCTGGATCCCGTGCCACCAGTTGGCCCCGCCCCTGGCCGGCCACACCCACACCACACGTGTCCCATTCCTAGGCCGGGCCGCACCCGCTGGCCAAGCTGGCAGGAACTGCCGAAGTCCACGATCTTGATGGCGCTCCGCTTGGGGTTGCAGAGCAGGATGTTCTCAGGCTTGAGGTCGCAGTGAATGATGCTGAGCTCGGGTGTGGCCAGAAAAAGCAGCGCCGTGCAGAGCTGCTGCGCCAGCTTCCGCGTCAGATTCAGCGAGACACCGCGGAAGTGAGTGTTGCGCAAGAGGTCGTACAGGTTGTAGGAAAGCAGTTCGAACACCAGGCACAGGTGGTTCCGGAACATGAAGTGTCGCTTCAGGTGCACTGCATGCAGGGAAGGGGGCGGAAATGGGCCCATTAAGAAGGAACTGAGAGGCTCAGAGCGGGCCAATGGCGGCCTCGGGTATACAGTAATCAAGGAGAGAGGCTGGAAGCAGATCTGTGACTCTGCTTCTTGAGCACTGGCCAAAGTATGGTGTGCCCACGGGTACCAGCTGCTAGACAGGACGTTTTTATATGGTCTATACTTGATTTACACCAAGAAAAATATTGACTTTTTTGATTAAGAATAGTGAATTCTTTTCAAGTCTCTTAACTGTCACATTAAACCAAAGAGAAAGTTTCCATTTGGTGCTGACAGGTCTTTAACACCATTTTACACTGCCACATTTAATTTTATGACACTGTTTTAGTCTCAGTTCTGTTTATTTTTGTACCCAAGGATACATTTACTATGTAGATTTATATTTAAAAAAAACACACTCTTTAAATCCTCTTGCGTTTCCTAAAAGGGACCAGTATAGGTAAGAGGAAAAAGACTGGCATAGATGTTAAGAGTAAAGGCTCTGGAGTCCACTGCCTGGTCAAATTATAGCTCTACTGAGTACAAACTCTGCACCCTTATGCAAACAACAGCACCTGAAAGCCTGCGTTTCTTCATCTCCAAGCTGTGGGCAATGATGCCCCTTTCATGGGGCTGTGGCATACACAAGTTAATTTACATAAAGTGCTTACAAGACAGCCTCACCTTTAGTGAGCACCCAGTCAACTCCGAACAGCAATATCATGTGAATAGGGCAATAATCATGAAAAGTGGCAGAATCACTGGTGTCAGGGAATTACAGACCAAACCCTGCCCTGTAGACACCAGCCCCGTCTGACAGCAAGGCTGACCCATCCCTAAGTAGCTGGCACTGCCTCAGGCCTCACCTATGTAGTACTTCATCTCCGTGTCGTGCTGGTTCATCAGCTCCAGCAGCCGCAGCTCAATCTGGGCCTGGTTCAGGAAGGCCTTTTTGTTCTTGATGATCTTGATTGCCACCAGCTCCTGGGTCTGATGATCGTAGGCTTTCACCACCTGCAGGGGCAGGGCATGTCACAAAGTGAGGGAAGGTGGTGGGGGGAGGCCAGGGACTACTCTTTTCCCTCCAGCAAAGCAGACCCACCAATATCATTATCAATATTACTAAGAGTTAATTCAAAATTGAGTGCTCACCGACAGGCACTAGTGTAAACATTGGACAGGAAATAACACAACAAACTTATATGGGGAGTCCTGTTATTTGCACTTTTTTTACAGAAAAGGACACTTTTCTGTAAGGCGCTGGGAAACCCAGTCACTGGGCAGGGTGAGTAGCCCAGCACAGAACTTGAAGCCATTGAACCACTGACTGCGTGACTCAGTATCAGTGGGTGCCCATGACCCCGAGTCCCTGGATCAGGTGTGTGTGTGGGGTGGGCATCCCGCACCTGGCCAAAGGAGCCTTTGCCAATGAGTGAGTCAATTTCATAGCGCTCCAGCCAGCGCTCGCCACTGCGCACGATGTAGTCATGGTTGTCGTCGTCGTAACCGTGGTTCAGGACCTTCTTCTCCTTCTTGGTGCTTGAGTCCTGAGGGGGTGCCTGCTGGGCCCGCCGCTTCTTCTTCGCATAGTAGACCTGCCCAGCCGGTCAGCCGGGAGATGAGGACTGGTAAGTGACCTGTGGCAGCAGCCAGGACCCCTCAGCACCCAGCCTGGGTCCCCCACCCACTGCCCACCTCATTGATGTGCTTGTAGGTCTTGATGAGGTCCACGGAGAGCTTGCGCAGTGGGGCCGAGGTCGAATCCCGGAAGGCCAGGGGCAGCCTCCGCGGCAAGAGCCGCACCTCAGGCAATACCTGCTGGGTGGGGTGAGGGGTGGGCACTGAGGACAGGCCTTCAGCTCCAACCTCAGGGGAGCTAGATGGGCAGCTGGCTCATCGTTACCACAGGCATATTTATTTGGTCACTGTCTGACAACCCCACTAGAAGAGAGAATCCTCAGGGGCAGAGGCCTTGTCATGTTCTTGTATCTCCAGTGCCTGCAGCAGGGCCTGGCACGTAGTGAATGATCATTAGAGATTGGCTGGATGAATGAATGGTGAACTATTTACCCCTGACCTTTCATCCCACACCTCTCCTCTTTCTGAACCTCAGTGTGAAAGATCATATAGAAAACCTGGGCTCTGCCTCCCCTGCCCCCAATCCTTCACCTGAGACCATCCGTTCTGGGTATCCTATCTTGAGGGCCTACATCTGGCTTTACCCCCATCCCTTGGGAACCCAATGCTCACACCTCATTCTGAGCATCTTTGCCCAGTTCTTTCACCTCCAGGGTCTTTCTTTGCTCTGGATCCAGCACCCAGGACCTAACCACTCTAAGCTCTACTATATTTCAGCGCCTTCACAGTCTCTACCCTTGAAAATCTCCACCCTGTAGCCCCACCAAGCCCTGCTGGCTCCAGGACCCTTCAGGCTCAACCTTCCTCTCCATTCACCCCCTCCAGATCTTTCCCTCTTGACGTTTTTGTCCTTAGTGAACATTTATTGTTTACTATGTGCCAGGCACTGTCCTCGGCATTTTACATGCATTTCATGAACCCGTTTAATCCTCACAACAACCCTGTGAGGTAGGTATCATTATTGTCCCCATTTTACAGACTAGAAAACTGAAGCATGGAGAACCTAAGTAATTTTACTACCAGTCTGGATTTGAACTCAGGCCCTCCAAACCCTGACTCTGCCAGCAATTCTTCTATTATCTTCCACTCCCATGGGGCCCTTCATGCCGCTGGGAAACTGCCCTGGGCAACCATACTATCTTTTGACCCCAACACCCTTCTATCCCAGCCTCCCCCTACCCCAGGCAGGTGAGGAGCCAGCTGAACGCGTACCTGCGTGTGCTCCTGGGGCCCCGGGAAGCCAGAGAAGGGACCATGGCCCGGTGGAACGGCCATGGTGGGCTCAGAGGGCCGCAGGGGAGCGAGGCCTGGAGCGGGAGCCCGGCCGGGGGGCGCCTTCTCGCATCCTGCACCTCGGCTGCCACCGCCGCTGAGACCTGAGAGCAGGCGGGAGGCGGGGGAACAACATGGAACAAGGGGATGTGTGGGAGCGTGCCAGGCAGGAAAGAGGTGGACATCAGAGAGAAGCCAGGGCACAGAGGGAGAAGGCAAAGGGTGCAACAGAGCAACAGTTGGCAGTGAAGAGAGGGGACAGAGAGAAATGGCCACGTGAACGGTAGGGAAAGCACAGTGGAGTCCCTCAACAAATGGTTACCAAATAAATGAGATAGGCGGCACAAAGGGGGACATGTGGAAAAAGAGTGATTAGGAGCAGACAGGGATATGGGTCATGACAGGAAAGGACAGAAAAACACCAACATTGGGAGGAGGAAGAGAAGAGAAAGACAGAAACCACAGACAGTATAGGGAGTAGGGTTCACTCTTTCCAGTTCCACTCGCAGCCCCCCCAGGGCCCCTTCACACAAGATCCTGCCCTCCTGCAGTCTTCCTCAAAAGTAAGGGTGTCATCTCTTATCACACAAGGTCCCTCTGCTTCAAGATCTGCCCTTCCCAGAAGATCCCCCCAATTCAGAGAACTCTAGGGTACCCCCAAACCACATGACAGTCCTCTGGGCCCCTGCCAAACTATAGCAAAGTCCTCTGCAGGCCCCTAAAACCACATCAGGGTCGTCGGGGACTTCCTGACGACTGTAATCTGAGAACCCCTATATATCAGAGTCCTACCCCTATGGCATTCTCATCTACAAGGGCACACCCTTCTCCCAGGACCTTCCCCATACCATGCCAAGACCTCTTCTCTATATTGTTCCCTCCCACATCAGGGGCCACCCCTCCAGCTAGTTTCTCCACACCATATTCCAGTTCCCCCATGCCACATCAGAGCTCTTCCCCATATTAGTCCAAGACCCCCTCCCGATCAAGGCCCACTCCTCCTGATGGGCACAAAGGGGCAGCCTCTCTTCCCACGGTTTAGAGTGACCCTCCTTCTCTCCCCTACGCTGGATCCTACCCACCTCCTCCCAATCCAATATTCCTACCAGGGCCCTTTCTCCAGTCACTCCTCTCTACACCCGGGTCAATCCACAACTGTGCCATTCCTAGAAGGCCCCCATAACCAAAGTCCCCAAATATCAAAGTTCTTCCCTTCCAGAGTATCTGCCACACCAAAATCCTCTCCCACAGGCCTTTCTTCCTGTCAGACCTTTTCTTCTATGCCAAACCTTGCCACTCCACGACCCTTCCTCTCTCTTGGAGGTCCCCCCCAAAACAATCTCTCTCCCGGGGCCCTCCCACACCAGGACTGTCTCTCCCAGCCCCCACCCCGTACCCGGGTCAGGGCTGGCGCGGGGCCCACGGGGGGCTGGAGTGCGGTGGGGCCCCCAGTGGGGTGGGCGAGCAGCCAGCATGGCGGCGGTGAAGAGACGGCCGCCTGTCCCGGCCCGGCCGACCCGGCAAGCCCCGCAGCGGGGAGGGCAAGCGGGACAGGCGGCCCGGTGGGTGACAACAGCAGCAGCCGCCGCCGCCGCCGCTGCCGGGGGAGGGAAAAGGGGGGGGACGAGGGTCAGCCCGGGGCACGCGGGGGAAAGGGAAAGCAGGTGGACGGGGGAGGGGCGAGTTAACCCTCGCCCCGCCAGCCCCGCCCCGCACAGCCACCCGCCCCCGGGGACACCGGCGTCCCGCCCCCCACCCTAGAGGCCCGCCCCGGCCCGCGGGGTCGGCCTGAACTTGGCAGTCCACACCTGCCATGGCAACAACCGTGCCATTGGTCGCTGCTGCCAAGAGCTCAACCAATCACAGTCCAGGGCAGCTGTTGCTAGGCAACCACGATGCGGCCGGCAGAGCAGAGCCCAAACAAAGGGCGGGAGCGGGGCCCCGCTACCCCCTCCAAGGACAGCTCCCTAGGGCTCGGCCCCTTCCAGGAATCCGACTATGAATAGCCAGGCATGGCCTGCACCAGCCCGCCGCTCCCCTCCTCTCCTCTCTTGGCCTCGTGCTAAATCTCGCAACGACGCGGGCAGGGCGGGTCCCGTACTGCCCCCCCCCCCGCGAGCTGCACGGTCTATAGCCGCGTCGTTACCTGAGAGCGCGGGCAAGAGGACTCAAACTGCTCGGGAAGCCCGAGCTCGGACCTGCCAACTGGCTGAAGGTATCTGACGGACGCGGCGAGCCAGGGCCCTGATTACCCAGTAATGCAACCAGCAAAATGGCGACCACAACAAACCGGCCCCCCCGCCCCAGGCTCCGCCCCCACATCCCCATCTGCTCCCCCTCACGTGACCAAGGGCAACACTCCGCGCCTGCGCTCAGCCGAGCTCACCGGCACATATGCGCAGT